ACAACATGGCGAGCCGCCGCCCCATTCAAAAAAAAGATGAAGAAGTTGAAGAAGAACGTACGAAAGGTACTAAAGGCGACGGAGGCCCCAAAGATTCATTATTGTATAAATTTTCATTGCGGGGCCCGGTGTTGCGGACGATGTCGGACGGCCCATTGGGCAGTTCCGTGACATCATCGGGTTATAACTCAAACCAGGTGGTTTTTGAGCAAACAACAAAACCTCCAAACCAACAGAACGGACCCGAGGATAACAGTTATTAGGCGCCGTTTAGCAGCCTTTGAATTATGGGATCTCGATACGTGGGCCGCTGATTATAATCGTCCCCAGTCTCGCCAAGACCAAGACCAAGACAACCATAACCAAGACCAAGAGAAGAAACCAACATACTCAAGCATATATGTGTAGGGATGGATATAATTACCAACCATGTCTTACTACTCTTCTACACGTTGGAATTTAATTCCACAACCTTCGCATGATTATGATTAATCCATCCATACTTCTTTTATCCATAAACTTTTACGACCCCGATCATTACTCAAGGCACACACAACGAACCTTCTTATTGGACAGAGTTTTGTGTGCACCACGATCGAAAACCAATATCAAATGTACATTAACGGAGACAATCGTCGTCCTTCGAAAGGCGAATAAATTCTGGAAAACTTCAGAAACAAAATAAAACCAAAGAAGTAACGATAATAAGAACGTACACCGCGAACGTGCAATATGGAAACTGCATATTCTTTTTTAATTCGAAAATAAAATAACAATGTCCACGTATGGAATTTATGTTTCCAATTACAATATTTCCACCTAGCAACAACAAACAATGACTTTTACGATTGTCCACGCACAGCGATTTATAAACAAACATCTTGGACATTTGCAGACTGTAATAATTATGATACCTAAAACTACGTTCGCACAGCGGTGTCTTTATGGTTCCGAGTGATGCACTTATTATGCAACGATGATTATGCGCACCTCCTTTCATTTTCTAAATTTAAGATGAAAATAATATCGGACTGTTGTGTGTTTTAGCTCTATAAAAGCATCAAATAACTCAAGAGCCTTTGGTAAAGAAAGGTAAGGAAGGAGTGGAAGAGAGACGGCGCGCAGAGAGTCCAGTTTTCACCGGACTGTGGTCCGACTTGAAATAAACGAAAATTTATATCAAAATAAAACGACGGGGATGGCCGAACAGGTATTTAATATGATGAGGAGAAGATGGGTGCGGATAATTTGCATATCTATTCCGTCCGGCAGCGCAATGTTTCAATAAAATCTTAATGAGGAAGAAGTTTCTTGGACTGTAAAGACAATGTTCTCCTCGTGCTATGGAAGATGGAGAGGATCGACGCAGACCCCCATGGGTCGGAGGATGCCCCCGCCAGGGACGACCAATTATCCTGCCTCCTGCTGAGCTGACTCCGACCCGGCGCGGAATGCCGGTGTGCGCCACCAAAATTATAAAGCAAACAAACGCATTGTTTCTTCTTTTTCTCCTCGTAACAAACACAATTTATTGTTCGAACAAGAATTATCCTAGCTAGAAACCATTAGATGTTTTGTATACAAATCAGAATTCTGAAGACAATGAACAATTTAATTATTAATATAAAAGTAATATATACTTAAATTAATTCATAAAATGAGAAGTCAAAATCCTGAAAAATAGCTCTAATGGATATTTAGCAACTTTGGTTAATACTTATTTCGTTGCAGAAATGGAATGTCTAAAGGACTAAAATTGAAGTTGAATAAATTCAATAACAATAAAGATACTCCACTTTTGAAATGCGATTGTTGCGAAGACAAATATGATGAGGGGATTATCAAGAAGATGGTAGAGTTTAATTTATGCGACGGGGTAATCTCTCACAAGTAGATAATGGGAACGGGTCTTGAAGTGGCTGAAAACTGGAATCAAAATAGGAGATTAATCTTGCTGGGGCATTGTGTGTGTATGTGCGTGGAGAAGGCGCATGATATACTTATACTTATATCGAAGCCCATAGCGCGTGCATGCAAACCACTGTTTAATATTCAATTATTCATGGGCAGAAATATAAATCGTGTCCGTCCACTGCCAGTGTTAACAAAATACATTCAATTATATCTAATATCTCGGAGCATGGAAAAATACACGGCATACGACAACACCAATTTACATCAAAATCACAAAGACTTATTACCAAGAAAACGATGCAGCAAAGACATGCGAAAAAAACATCCCCTCGCAAAAATAACAATAATTAATAATTAAAATGTTAGATTTTTCTTTTTGATGCAATTCGATTGACGTACAAAATAAAAGTATTTCCAGTCACGTACAACCATTGTTATGAAATAACTTCTATTATTAAGTGAATTTAAATATTCTCTTGATATATTCCTGTTAGTGCTATTGTAATGTAAAATATGACTCCACATGCGCGTTTTCTGTGTATAAACACAAAGTCGGTAATTCACAGACAGCACGATTTATTCCTATAATCAAGTCCGCAATAATTTATTCCAATTTTGTTATATTAATAGATACATCACACGTAAATATTGTAATTTCCGCATTTCGATGTGCCACAACAATCGTTTACCTATTGTACACTTCGAGTGAAATATTGATTACCGCATAAACCATGCGTTCAGGAATTTCATACATTGATTTTCCTTAACTGCAATTTATGAATATACAATTAATTGTGAAAAATATTTGAAAAATCCGATAAATATTTTCTTTTGATTTATATTTTATACAGACAGGAAAAAAACAAAACAAAAAATGTATATGCTACCAATTATTCAATCCATCAATATTGTTATGGACGGATTCCACCGTAGTTCAGATCTCCTAATAGACTCGTTTATATGCAACAAGTCGCCGCACCATATTTATTGAAGATTGATAAAAGCCGACGCTGTTATTAACTTTTAAGTCACCTGCTTTTCCACTCTCACTCGATTCACAACAAAACATGCCTACATCATTTTAAATTGTTTTCCAATATAGCTGACGGTGCACCGGAGAATTTAATAACAATCGTTATTAATGGAAAAACTATGCAATAAATATCGTGTGCACGTCAATCGATATTAATGAATAACGACGTAAATAACGATCGATACGACCTAATATGTCAAAATCATATTTCCTATTTAATTTACTTATTACTTGATACAATTCTAATGCACTTACTTGAAGTTTCCGTAATAACGATTTTTTAATTGCAAAATGTTTGTTGATTGATTTATTCCCTAGTTAAATCATACAGTTAACATATTTATATATAATGTAATAACACTGATGAAATTTTATAAAATATTATAAAATTTGTCAAAATGTCCAAGTTATACAAAATAATTTGGAAACCAAATTTCAAGCAAATGAAAATGAATTAATGATTCAAAATTTAGTTTATGGTAAAAATATAAATATTTAAAACATTAATTTTAAAATTTTAAAAATAAAGTTCTATATTTTATAGGTATATTATATAAACAATTATAGTTCTGTTTATAAGAATTTCAATATTCTTTGAACAAATAAGTAGATCGCATTTTTTTGGCTCGGAATCAACTGGTATTTTGAGCAATATGTGAAAAACATGTTTGAATGTGCAACAGTTTATTTATTATATCGAACTGACACATTCTTTTCTTTTAAATGCTTTGAAGCAAGCAATATAACTTATTTTTTAAGGATGAAGTCTATATTGACAATCGACTAAAATTAAACTCATAGCATAAAAATTCTATTAAATCAAATATTTTTAAATTTGTTATCATAATAAAAATTGTGTTTACCTGCGAAATAAATTCACTTACTGTAAAAATGACAACTGTCATTTGATATAAATTATATGGATGACAAAAATATCTCAATAGAAATAAAATATGAAACCTATGAGAGTATAAAAAAAAAGAATTTCAACAGCTTATAATCATATTACATAAACGTAAAGTAAGTATTTAAGTAATATTTTCAAGAAAATTTTAGCAATATATAACATATTTCAGTTATTTTCAATCAAATCACAGCTTTGCTTCGCAAATTTTCATTTGAAGATTTTTTCAGATTGTTTACTAAGATCAAAATTGCGTATAAACTGCAATACCCTTGCACATTGTTTACATTAAAAGCAAAAGGTTTTTAATGAAGACGTTAAGGCCATATTATCAATAAATATTTTTGTAATAAAATAATACATTATTATAGTGAACCGACGAGACAAAAAAAGAGAGCTTGACAAATCAATAATGATAAGGTAGCGGTATTCTAATGTGAACTAAGGAATACCGAATGCGTCTGGAATTTCCTTTTTCAGCGTTAATGCCGCAGTTTGCAGTTCGATCGGCGAAGAAAAGTCGAAGTCGTCCCAGTTAAAAAAAGAACAATGTTACACACACACATTTCGAATGCTAAACGGAGGATCAGGGATCCGAGTCTGCGGCTCGCTGTCGGCCGGACTATCGGGTTTTAAAAAGGCAATAACTTAAAAACTGTTTACATAAGATTGTCAGTGGATCCGCCTATATCGATGATTTATGGCCGTCCTGATGAATATGCAATGCGCACAACGGATTTCAATAAGGAAAAAAAGGAGCTCGTGACATGATAAATGGATAATCCGCCGAAAAAATATTAAGAGAGTAGAAATAACAACAATCCGGAGAGTGAATAAAATGCGAGTACGCACGTCGGATACATATTAATACCGGTGAAAATGAATTAATGGAGGAGAATAGTGAAGGCTCCCCAATATATAAATAAATAAACAAGCGCACGCCGCACGCATTCCCTGAATGAGCGGCCACGATGCGAGTATTTGCATAAAATTGCAATTAAGAAATCAAATTATAATTTACTCTCGGTCATTAACATATTTCGTTTAAATGAATTTTAAATATATACCTATATGTATACACAAAAGGAAGACAATGTGCAAGAGCGCGCAGACAGTAGATTTAAGTTGAAGAGGAGGTTTTGCACTTACCTCGGTGTCAATCTTCTTGAATTCCTCATCCTCTTCGTCGACCTCGAAGTACAGCTCGGTGGATGTAATCGAAATCATACCTGGGGCCACGATCCCCGGAGCCACGAGCTTCGCCTTCGTACTTATGTTAACAGGCCCTGAAACCATACGAAGAAATGATACTCTCTACAGCTCACTCGAAAAGCCCACCGCGATAAATCACTGACTCAAACCGAAACCAATAAATCCTCTATTACAGAAAAGTAGAAAATAATTACAGCGCAAACAAAAGCAGATAATAAGTGTAATTACGCGATACCTAGTAATTACGTTCTTTATGCCTTTTAAATTAGTTAAATCAGATACAGCGAGGCATTTATCAAATAGTATTCGATGCAGGAACAAAAAGGAAAAGCGAATTGATGCGTTGGGAAACATAAAAATTCCCGGTGGCAATTGATTGCTGCGATAAAAATTAACGCAATTACGTAGGGAATATATCGTGACAGTGAGACGTCGCATACTGCGCTAATTAAATAATTAAAATTACGCACAATCGATGTAAGTGTCCGAGAAAATGGACATTAAATCTTTTTAAAGAGGTTCCGCAGCGTCGATAAATCTCGTACCTGTAAGGTCATTGTCTAAATCGCGATCGTCGATGAGGAGCTCCGTGTCGTCCATCAGGTCGCTCGTTTGCATCTGCTGTTGTTGCTGTTGGTGACTTCTCGATGCGGCCAATTGGGCATGAATCTCCTCGCGTGCCTGCATGCATAGAATACGTACACAAATCAGAAAACTACGAACATAATGTGTAAATAACGTTTAATGTTTTCGTTCTGAGAAGACGCGAAAAAGTTTATTGCAGCATAGGACATCATCGTGCATTTAATATGCGCTGAAGTCGATAACAAAAAATACAATCCTAAGAAACTTTGCGCTTCTAACCATCAGTTAGTAAGAAGAAAAAGCCAAGAAGAAGGAACGTATCTGGGTTTATTTAAAAAACGAGACACGCGAGTTGTTAAGTGTTAATAAAGAAGCACTAAACGAATGGAACGTGTCGAAGAGAGGAATTAATTAAACGACACCGCGAGAACGTGCTATTGTCTTGGGAGCTGAGTCTAAAACAATTTAATAAACGAAACGGAATAGGTCCACTATCAGCGGCATCGTGGAATGAAAAAGCGGCAAACACGACGGATGAGAAATGCAAAAAGGATGAATCGAAGCAAAAGGATAAGTGGAAGGATTCGCAAGGAGCGAATCCGCAAATAATGCGCGCAAAAAAAGAGGCTCGACGAAAAAAGTAGTCGCGAAGTGCAGTACTCACACATCCGAGAAGAATTTTATCGTCAGATCGACCCTACGCTTATAAATACACGTTTTTATGTGCCATCAAACCTGACTGCCATAATTTATAATTCAATACGGAGTCCTAAATAAATTGCAATTGCCTTCGAGTATTTTAATTGACTATATTGCGTTCGTTTTTTGTTTTCTCCCTCGGCTCTGAAGGCTCTAAATTAATTCAACAAAACTGATACACTACAACATTATTGAAATATCATTCACTTCTTAACTACAATAATACGTGCTACGTTACTGCTATTTCATATTAAAGATTATATTCACTATTGATATTTATCATCTCTTTTATTATTGACAACACAAGAAATCATTTAAATTATAAAATAACGTTTTTTTCTTCATCATGTAAACATAAATTTAATAATTGTTTATTTAAATTTATTTTTATAAGTATTGCATTAAGTACAAGAATACTCTTATGATATTTTATGTTCAAAATGTGCTTACTATCATTGATTACTATAGTTATAAAGGCGATAATATGAATTAAGATTTCGTTAGAATTTTTTTATACAGCAACATCAAATTCATGTTGAACAATACCAGTTGTACAACAAATTAAAGTTTTTAGTTAATACTACTTAACTATTAAAAATACATATTTGAGACAAATTGACTAAGTTAAGAAAATACTTTATATAAAAACATTTCTATGCGATTGATGTATTGAATTACATCTCGAGACTATTTTACTCGGTTGAATAGGTAATTTCGATGGCTCGATTATATTATTTACCTGTAAGATTGCATCTTCGGGTCCGCCGTGCTCTAAGGCGGCTTTCAGAGTAGCTTCTGGATGACTTGAACCCAATGGATTGTGAACGAATCGTTTCCTCCTGCGCGCATCGTCCTCCCAAGCGTCCAATTTCCAGAACTCCGTCAATCTACAAATTGCATGTTGCGTGTTAAACTTAACCCAAACATAATGAGAATTCAATACGTACTTGGCACCTTGAGGATCCATGTATCCCCAAGCTCCGTGTTTGTTGGACATTATGTTCCTTACTTTTTCCAACAATCTGCTGGCTATTACATTGTCTCTTCTTCTGGCAGCAGTGATCAGATGATCGCACATCCTTTCTTCTTCCTTACGGTCCAGTAGGGTCTGAGCGCACTGCGACTCGAAGTCAGCGTGCTTCAGGACATCATCAGCCCTCATCCTATTTAATATAAATTCCGCTTCATTCGCGACCCTTACAATATGATCCTTCATGGCGTGAGAGAGTAATCTGCCTTCGTTGATCAGTTCAATGAAGGCGAGACCGGCGTGCTTCTGTAGCGAGTTCTGCCATTCTTGGGAGCACAGCAACATCACGAGTTCCACAACGGAATTACTGTTCTTGAAGGTAGTTAATCCTTTGCCTTCCATTAACAATTCCTGGCCATGGGAACCAATCAAGGTTTTCGATAAGAATGGAGCAAAGTCGACCATTATTTCTCTTAATAGAGGGCAAACAGAGCCTAGAGCCATCTCGAGTTTCTGTGTGAGCGAAGCTTCGCGCGATGGTGTAGGTATGGAGATGTGGTCAACTAGGCTACTCACAGGGAGATCATCTGGTCTCACTTGAGTAGGAGTCGGGATCATGTTCTCAGGGACGCGTACAACTGAGATCTCAGAGTGCTGTTTCTCACCGCGTTCCTGGATATTACCTTCCATGTCGATGTGACCGTGCGTCATGTTCTGCAAATTCCTCGCGTCGTCTTTAGGCATAACATCGCCATCCTCATTCAAGTTTATATCGGTCCAACTCTCGTCGTTGGATACTTTCGTATTGTCTATACCAATTTCATTATTCTCTAAATGGTTAGTTTCCACAGAATTCACCGAAGCATTTTCCTCAATGGAGTCAACACTCTAAAGAATAACAAATATAATATGTGTTACAAGTAAAAAAATACGGACTAGATGACAATGCAAAACAAATAAAAACAAAAACATTATTACTGAAATTGGTGCATAAACTAAATTAAGATTTTAGTTTCTAAAATGCATCCAATTACCTTGTTAACGTTACGAACGGCATCAGCACGGTTACGATTGTTACGAGCATGCCTCATCCCATCCATAGAGTAATCTACAGAAAATCCGTGCCCAAGAGACGGTCGCTGTCTCGCGCTAACCTGCCAGGCGCGCACCAAACAGCAAAAGCCATGTTAAGAGTTAGTTATCATACACATCCTTTTTACAACAGCATTCTCTCAGTACATAATTTCATTTGTTACATTGACATTAAAAGTGAATATACATGCATGCAATTTTAAGCAATCTTTAAAAGAAAAAAGATCAATTTATAAGAAAACATAAGTTTATGATAGAAAAAGTGAAAATTATATTCTATTATTAAATGAATTTGGAAATAATATCTTATTATTATTTATAGAAAACATCTATAAATTATTCTTTATTAGTGCAAGATTTTAAATGTTGAAAGTATGCTACCTCATATGTTAGAAGTGTAAATTTGGTTGCATACCTTGAAGAAATGTACGAGGAACAGTGCCGGACTGAATAAAATTTCTATCATCTATCTTCTAAGTTTCAATTAATTTGATAGTATTCTTAAAAGCCTATGTTGCAATTACTAAATATTAAAAATGTAAGACCAAACAACAAACCAAGTGCACCATATACAAGACAAAATATTGTGTATCAATGAAAAGTAAATCACCAAAAACTCCACAATGCTCAAAAAACGTACTAATTTTTCCTATAGAAACATTGCTCGTAAACTATTGAGTTAATGACAGTATCCAACATTCAATAGACAAATTTTACACAAGAACAAACATTAACAAAAAAAAATACCTTTATGGATGCGGGTCCAGAATGGAGATCATGATCTTGAACCGAATGGTTATCGTCCATCACGTATGCCGATATGACTTCGAAGTCGGCATCTTCGTGGGTTTGACTGTGTATAGCCCTAGATGCTGCAAAATTGATATTCAACTGAATTTAGATCCTAAATTATAGAGGTATTAGGTAGAATAAACATTACTAATTATCTGGATATACAACGAGCATGCTTCTAAAAGAAAAAACTTTAGAAACTCAAAGTATAAAATACATTATAACAAAAATCAAAATAAAACTCTTGCAAAGTGAAAAACTTCAGTAAGAAAATAATAAACGAAAATAATAAATAATAACTCCAAATATTGGCGTGCCTTAATGTTTCGTTTTTTATTTTTACCTGCATGGCTAGCAATGGAGTTTCTATGGTACCTGTGGTCTATCTTATGGTTATGATGGTGGGAATGGTTGTGATTATTGTTAAGGTTATAATGATGTTTGACGTAGGTGTGCCTATGACGGAGGTAGTTGTGATGTTGAGGTGCGTTCGGATGGGAACCAGGGAGGAATTGAGGATAGACGTGATGAGACCACTGTGGGAATAGAGGCCGGGCGCTGCCTTCTGATACCGCACCAAGAGAAGAATAAAGTTAGTTACACAACATTCAATTCGATTCGTTTCATGTTAGAAATAGATATTGAAATATATATAGAGAGAATTGAATGAAATCGAAAATACTTTTCTTTCGGTTTTGCGAAGGAGGACAACGTGCAATGGATATATTGCTGCTTTTTTTGTCTTCAGCTGATTGTTACACTTGTCCTCTACGAAATTTAATTAATGAGAAATTTTGTGCAAATCGTGTGGAAAGCGTGTTCGAGGGTGATTAATTAGTAAATCCCCAGAAGGATTAGTTATATTGTAAATTGGTAATTATACACACATACCTTGAGGGCTTCCGGAATGATGTGAACCATTATTTCTGATGGCCGGAAGCGGACTTGGGGCGCGCAAAGATACCGGGGGTTCCAGAATATCTCTGTACTTGGATACCATTAGTACGGAAATGAAATATACGATGGCCAGAGACAAGAATTGGGCCTGCTTCGTCTCCTCCTGTAAATGAAGACGTTAGCGTTGGTTTTAGTGTAAGGTGCTAATGGTATGTGCCTGTATAAACGTTCTCACCACATCTCTGTAGATTACCGCCCGGAGGCGGTTAACGTCCATGTCCTGTAACAACTTTTCAGGATCTTTTACTGGACTCGCCGAGTTCGACAAATTGTCCGCGATATTCTAAAATATATACCAAATTTAAATATAATTAAATATTTCTAAAAAGCCTACACCAATTGGTGTAACCACTAACGAAAACCTACCTTGGGAGAATTTTGGACACCCCTTATAAATGATTGCAAATGTGCAGACTTGTGACTAGCGTTATGTGTAGGTGCAAGAGTGTGATGAGGGCGGCTCCTCTCTTTGCACTCCAGACAATTACGGACTGCACAAGTGCAAACCTAATGCAACGCAAATTAGTGTAGTAAAACGACAAAGAATTCACAACATTAAACTTACCAATCGCAAGCACTGTCTCAAAATACCACCGCTCGACATGTTCTTCTCCGCTTCCAATTCCCCGAAATTCAGAGAACTCGCAAAGATCAAGACGTCGGCCATAGTAACCAAGCGTTGCAAAAACGAGACGGCAACTTCGATGGGCATTCCCTGCGTAGGTTCAATCACATCCAATTCGCTCTGTAAAGTACCAAATAGTGTTACTACAAAAAATTACATCTGTATTTAAACTTGAACTGACGTTGGGTGATGTTGCTGAAGCCAATAATGGAAGTAATCCACCGCATGCAATTATCAAATTGTCAGCGAGCTGCGATATTAAGTGCACAGTATTTACAACGAAGATCGCATTGTCGCTGCTATTTACGAAATCTAAAACTGATTTCGATGAGTGTGACCTCCAAACTTGTATATCTGTCTCCAAAGAGAAAAGGACATCGGAAAGTAATCTCTGATGAATGTATGACCATTTGAATTCAGGAATTCTGAACGGTGGTCGAGTTGGTCCCGGGCTGAACATTGGTCTCGTTGAAGCGGAGCCCGACTTCGAACGTTTATTATCTGGAAATAAAAATAAGTTTAAATTGAGCAAAAAACAATGATCTATGAAATTTGGAGATTTACCGAAATGATTTGGATCCACTTGAGTGGACGTGGATGCGCTTCTCGGGCGCTTTTGCGGTGAAATATGATCGGCGCTCTCGCCATTCTCCTGCTGTCCTTCCAAGGAGTTTGATGGCAGGCTAATTCTGCGCTTGATTTCTTCTTTATCCGGGTTTTCTTCGTCACTCTTAAGCTCCTCGGTTGGTTGCTGGTAATGACTAGGATCACAGATTTGCGAAATCGTGGCTATTGTCTCTTCAGCTTCGTCCGTCTCTTCTACGGCACTATCTACCATTTCGTCAGCGTTTTTAATATTCTCTACATCTTCTTTGCTTACTTCTGGAATGTTTTCTTCTACATTTACTTCTTCTATCTTCTCTTCTTCGACAACTACTACAACAGCTTCTTCTTCTTCTAGTTCTTCTTCTTTTTCTTCCTGCTTCTCATCTTCTTCCTTTTCAATTGAGTCAGGACTAGTCTGAACATTGGACGGCTCTAATTCTACACTACTAGTATCAACGATTGGCACATTAAGAGTTTCGGCGTTCACAACCTCTTCAATTATCACTTGTTTATCACTGAGCACTTCAGGTTGGGCAGCGTTTTCTTCTTTCTTCTCTGTCTCACTGAGATCAGTAGGAGTTAAGTAACGCTCCGAAGACATGTCGCTGTCTTTTTCGGGACTCGTGGGTTCAGGTTTAGGAGCTGATTCCTCTACGTCTTCGCAGACAGGCGAAGGAGAGGATTCATCATGTTCCTCTTGAGCAACTTGTAAGAGCTTCTCGCTCTTTTCCAAAATTTCTTGGACAATCTCAGTGACTATTTCGTTTTTCTGATCTTCCTCTGTCAACTCATCAACGTTCTTCTCCGGGCTTCCAATACTGCTCTCAGTAGGAATTCCGTTGCAAAGAGGTTCGGATTTCGATGGAGACTCTTGCGAGAAAGGCGACTCCTTGTCCAGTTTAACATCACTGTATAAATCACTGGTCCTGGAGTCCAAGGAGACACCTTCACTATCGTCGCGTTTGGTAATGAACGAAGCTGGACTTCCCTCCGATATCGGAGTGCTCATATCGCAATTACACAACGGCTCCGTTTTCTCCGACTCCTGATCGATCTCCTGCAGAACTGGATGAGCATTCTCCCATTCATCTTGATGATAGCCGTTGGGCACGTTTTCGGACTGCTGTTCCCAACCGGATATTGTACTTATGGGACGTTGTTGGCGCACAGCCGGATCCGTGATATTATCGGTCCTTTGGCGTTCGTAATGCTCATACATCTGAGCAAATTGCAATTTGAATTCCTCATAAGACACCTGGAAAATATACATCGTGCAATATATAAATATCAAGTTATTCTAGTAGATTTGATTTACCTTTGAGTGGACGATCGCTAAGGTATCGACCCAAACACGCCATCCGCCGTATTCGTATTTTATGGCGTGGTGTAGGAGCATCCTGAAAAGGGAATAAACCATGTCTGAGAGCTTCTGCTCCTCTGTATTTTTAGGATGAATGTAAGCCATGGCTATCAACCATTCCTGCCAGACGGACATTTGCAATACGGTACGCCGGTTCTCGCGGTTGTTGTTGCAAAGCAGAGTCATGTCACTTAGGAACAGCTTCTTCACCTCGATTAGTTGCTCGTTTTGTTTAGACTGTCTTATTAGTGAAGCGACAACTTTTAGAATCACTAAAAAAATAAATAAGCGTTAGCGGATGAAGTACGTAATAGTCTTTGCTAAAAAAATTACTTGGGTTCTCGAGACGAAAATGAGACTCCGGTTCTGGATGTCTCGTGTACAGAATTTGTTGACTGATGTGCTCGGTCATGATTTCATAAAGTACGTTGTATGTGGGCAACGACAGGGTGTCTTCGTTGAGCAGCAACCTTTCTGCTAATAGGGTATACAGATTATGAGGACTCATAACATCGTACTTTCGTTTGTGGGTGCTGCGACTCAAGAAAAATCCTAGCAACTTGAGCGCTTGCAGTCGGATTAATTGACTCTCGGATGCGAGTAATTTGAATATTGACCTCACGCCGTGCTTGCAGTCGAAAGCAGGCACCATGGAAGAAGGATGCTCCGACATCAACGAAATCAACATTTGTAGAACATCATGCAGATTTTCATCCTGAATAAAAAATAGACAAATTTAGTTTTCGCGGTTCAAATATTTACTTCCGCTTTTCACCTCATGCATGGTAGTCAGGTAGTTTAATATGCTTTGGAGCTCGTCATCCTTGACTCCGTTACCAATCATGATGAGCTGCTTCAGGAAGAGAAGGATGTAAGCCCTGATGGCCAAGATATCCTTTTGCGCAGGTCTCGGTCCATCTGTTCATAAGAGTATAGGATTAGCTATCGGTGAAGAAAAACGATCCCCCTTAAAGTAAACGCATTACCTAATCCTTTCGGCGTGATTCCGCTCTTCGATCTCGGATTAGTGACCCAGTAATAATACTTGAGGGTGTGCACCGTTTGGAGTACGGTTGAGACGCGGCGGACGTTCGAGTAGATTTGAGTGTCCGACAGGAATTCGGTTGCCAAATAGGAGTAGAGTTTGGATTGAACCGGGGCTGGGGTGTAGATCCATAGTGCCGGATTGAAGAGCACGTGGTCGAGAAGCTGCCACGTCAGGAACGAGAAGCAAAACAACTAAATCAAAATGGATTAACCTGCTCCCGTACTTACCCAAAAAACACTTATTTATCAAAGAACGATCACAAACAATACATCTCCCATCGTTTCGCATTTTTATTTCTTCTCGTATTTAAATTCATATCACTCAAAGAAAAAATAATGCTTTTCTAAGGGAATCAAATAACAACCAAAATAATAAAGTCCAAAAACATACTTTGCAAACAAGCTCAATTTACGTAACTTTAAATAATGAATCGATTTCATGCTTGGATAAGTATGGTTTCAACGTGAGTCAAAGTACAAGCTTCGGCGAAACGGACCGAAAAAAAAATCAATTCAAACAAGTTTTAATAATCCCGTTCTTTCTCAATAACACTTATATCTTCATTGAATTGGAAATAATCATTGAGCTGAACAAAAATTAACGAAGAACTAAAAAATAAAGTTTCATTGGGAAAGAAACAGATCAAACTCATCAAACAAATACTTAATTTTTTAATAAAACTCATCTCAATTATTGACGCATAAATGACTTGTAAATAAAATGATTATAAGCAGAGTGTTTAAATTACATATTGTAGATGGTGGAAAATTTAAAATAAGTTAATTTGTTTCTAAATATCTTGCGAATTCGGAATTAATAGTAACTTGTTCTAATATTTATATTGAGTATTGCAATCCTTTAGCAAGTATTATTAATGATTTTCAAGCTTTTAATGAGTACTTTTAAATTCTTTTATTCATATTATAATATCAGAAGCTTGATGTGCGTAATAGATTATGTTTAAGTGCAAATTAAGATTAGGTAACATAAGAAGGAGCTTTAAACATTCCATGCTTATTTAAAGAAAAAAACGCTTTGTTTCTTAAATTTCGTAATGAAACAATACCACCTATATAGAATGCTGTAAGAGATACAATTAGAGACACACTGACCAAAAGAAATAAAGAAACACCGAATTACGACTACAGTAAAGTATCACTGCGCTAATCGTTCATGTATGAATTTAAATTGTAATTTAAATATATATCGAAATATACTCAATTAGATATTTACAACAAACCCTTTGACTGCTAAGTTGCTAATTACCTGTTTGAGTAGAAGCTCGCTGTTGGCACTTAAACAAGTAACTAGATGCTTGGTGAGGCTGAGGAATGATCCGAGCACGTCTATCGTCAGATGGTCTCTTGATGATCTCTGCAGCATGAAACTAATAACGAGAAATCCTCGATTCTGTATCATATGCTGCTGAACGGTTTGCGAGGTCTCAACCAGTTCGCAAATGAATCCTAAAAGTTTGGAACTGTGGAAACAAAAAAAAAACAGAGTCGAGATGAAAATTAGAAGTCCCGGGGCGCGTCGCCTCTTTCATTATCAGCAATTTACCACAGAGTCGGATCCCTTTTAGAGTCCGCCGAGCCGGTGCATTCATAAGGTAAATCCAGTTGCGAGAACAAAGGGAACAGCACTTGGATTCCGCCGATCGAATTAAGGGTGCTGTGGATGGAATGTGTTATCACCGCCTTCACGTCCTGCAAGTGTTACATAAACGGGGGAAGGATGTAGATTAAAAAAAAACTTGTCGGTGGGAATTTGAAGCGAAAATTACTTGTAACATGAGGGCATGTGGAGTGTGGACGAAATACGAGTTGTTCCCTTTGGGGGCCGACTGCAGACACAATTGGCTGTCCGTTGCAACTGGATTGTACATGAACACTATTGCACTGGATAATTTCCCGTCGTACAGCACCTATAACATTCGAATTCACTTAAAACAATTCACAGCAGAATACGAAATACTCAGAAATTGGGTCTATGGGATCAAAGAGCATTTTTCCAATGAAAACAAAGCCAAATAAAAATATTTACAAAAATACTGTAAATTATAACAAGCACAGCTAATTGGCGCGCAGTAATTGTACCTTTTAAGGCAGCCGGCAACGCGGAAAATGTAAAATGAATGAACCAAATAATCAACTAAATTACAGAATAATAATTATAACTCGAAACAAATTTAAATTATATACGACAAAACGTTCTAATTAACGAAGCTGGAAGTTCGCAGCACAAAATATAATCAAAATTATGGTGTCCATACGGACATATTTTTTTTTATATCTACGAGCACTCTGCACAAACGAAATAAAATAAATATAAATTACGTTCACTCTATTTAACGCAAAACAGGACTAACCAATCGATAAAACAAATTCGTAAAATAATATAAAAAAAAAATAAACACAAATAAAATAAAAAATAAAAATCATGCTTACTGAACGTGCATCTGTTGTACTCTGGATCATGCTAGTAGGAATGTTGGTTGCATCACCAGATTCACTCACCCTTTTATGATTGTCGGGCAAATTCAAGTGACACTCGTTATCAAAACGAAACTGGCTCTGTGAAAAAAGGATGGTTTAATATTTAAAAAATATCGATTTTTATAATTAAACATTGATATCTTGTACATAAAATACATTAATTTGTCACATTGCTACTGATAGTACTGAATCACATCAATGTATCTAATTTAATATTTGCAATATACAACATTCCCTTTTGGTGTCGAAATTCGATTGTATTATTTACTTATCATTAACAATACGAGATGTATTATTGATTTGTGCAAATATACTACATTTAGGATTATCATACGAGATGCACTCCATTTGAGAATTAATATTGCAAATATTGTATGAATTGTTAATATTATGATGTAAAAAAATAATTATTCCAGAAGGATTACCTAATAATAGTAATATTTCGTAAATATTTGTATAAATTTATGATGTTATGTAATAAAATAATGTACTATAAAAGGTATAAGGTAAAGCAAAAGTGAAAATTTGAGATATGTAATGTTTGAAATACGAATGTTGGGTTGTGGATTAAGATGTTGAATGTGGATCGGGAAAGTTTCCGAGAAAGGGTATCTGGGATTGTCGAGAGGGTAGGGATCATACTTTATAGCCGGGTCCTAATCTGTGCATGGCGCAAATCTGGTGTGTCGTGAGGGCTTCGCTGAATAGATAAATAGCTGACATTTGACCGCAGAAGACACGTTCCTCGTCCAATTCCGGGGTCGCTCCGATATAGCACTTATCGAAGGGCTGCGCGTTGCCGATAAAACAAACAAAAAGAGAACTGTTAATTGGTGTTCCATTAAACGTTTTGATTATTCAAGACTGCCGCCCGATAAATTATGTTGAAAGCCATTTTAACCCTAAATTTGTAACTAGACCGGATGCACTGTTTGAGTTAATTAAGCCGTTACATAATTCAACGGGCGGCATTAATAATAAATCCTTACGTCGTTTGTGCTAACAAACCAGGCCATCTCCGTGGCGGATGCCAACTGCCCGTTGACCAAGCATTTAATCTCGCTCTTCGTCCACCTATTGTAGATATAAACCACGGCCAACATGTACCACTGGAATGCAATAACAAACAGAATTAACTCATTCGCAAAGTCAAGAGCGATTCGAAGCAACAACAACAACAAAAATGCTGTTCTTCTTATTATTATATAGATCAAACGTTGGACAAAAGGAAATAAAACTTACTTTGCGCGGTTGGAATTCGTATTTGACGCAGTGCTGGAAACCCTTCCCTTTTATCTTCATTGATGTCAAAACTAAACAATTGCCGACGAAATGAGCGGTGTAGCCAACGCCTTTGCTCGTTTTGAAGCTGAAATTAGCAGGGCAAAGGGTGAAACAAATAGTACTTCACCTCCCGCAGAAACTTACCAGTAGAGATAGGGCTTCTCGCGCTCAATGTTCACCGAATTTATCGGATCCAGACGGAACCACGTCGTGAACGTGAAACCATTCTCATATGGCCACTTCGCCAACGGCGGTAACACCACAGCCTGTAACAATTAACATCGAGACCACAATGCAATTCACCTCTCCGTCGCAAAACCCCAATACCAACCCCCCCCATCTCCTCGCCACTTTCACGTAACTACGTTCTAACAGTTTACCTTCCCTAACGGCTACCACGCTAATTCAATTCAATTACCTATCGTGTAGTAATAGTATTATATAATCAAAGTAAAAATAGACTATGAAGCGAAATGTCTAAGAAGATACATGAAATACGAGGAGCGAGAGGTTAACAATATTTGTGAAATGTAAACCCTTACCGATCCTTTGCGTCCGGGGAAACTGAAAAAGACATCGGGGCCACTCCGTTGGGGCATCTGACGCAGAACGTTAAGCAGCTTAGCCGAATGTCGGGGCTGAGTGGAGCAAGCACATGAAAAAAAGTAGAGGAAACATACAGAATATGGAAACAAGGGTAGAAAATTTACATCTGAATCGTTATTGCTATATTTTCGGCGTTAGATTTTCTTACCCATTTCCCGCTAATGGCTTTCATGGCGCCGAACAGCAGCTTTAATTCCTTTACTGTTATACTGTAGCTCGCTAACACTCCCAGCATTTCTATCAACAGATCTGAAAATAAACAGTTAGTTAAATAATATATTTCAATTAATTATAATTATAAAAAGCAATATCAAACAATCTAAAATAAATAATGTTAATGCACAAACTATCTATTTTCTTCAATATTTTATTTTTACTATATTACTATATTTAATAAATCTAAATGCAATAAATTTACTATAAATTCAGTATTTTTTTTTAGTTAAAGAAGTCCACCAGTAATATCAGTAATAAATTGTATTATTTCAATAAGAAAAATAGTACATTTTTCAAAATATTATATGAAAAAAATACTAAATGTGCATTATTGAAAATATATTAATTTAAATTAAAAAATAGCTTAATTATTGTCTACATGCAAAAATCTACTATATTTAACTAATCTATATAAAATACCATCAATATAAATACTGACTATCATTTAAAATGAAATATTTTTTTAGTAGTAAGCTTAATGCTGCAGGATGAAAATGATTTGGGTGGAAATTATATAGATATACGAAAATGCGGAACGGAAAGAGAAGTACCCGAACCCATTTGGAGAGAATGGCAGAATAAAATATGTAAAAACAGAAATAATTACATCGAAAGTCCCTCAGCTCCGCACAATAAGCCGGAAAAGCTTGAGGGTAGTATAAAACCCCCGGCGCATCCGCAATTTTTCTCGTCCCCGTTCAATTTCTTAGTATTCAGTAATTCTTTTCCACAAATGCAATACTTTACGTTGAATTACGTTTTAATTCCACCGAGGAATTAAAAGCAAAAATAAACACCAAAAAATACGCGTATTTGTCGTTTCATTTGTTCAGAACTGAATACGTTACTAGAAATATAATGGAAGCGAAAACAATAATGAATTAATAATAAAAAAAAATATGTTGAATTTTAAATACGAGCGATGCTTCATATTGATTTTTTTTATGTAATCAAGTATGTAATGTAATAATAATATTATTACAATGCAAAAAAATAAACAGAATGTTGCATTCAAATTTAGCTGTCGGCATAATTAAGCGAAACACAACAAAAAAAAATGAAATAAAAAACAGCTACTTAATTTACATGATTTAATAATGGCGGAATGCAAACGCAAAATGGATGCGCCGGGTGTATACAGCATGCATCTTCATTAAAGTCAAATAATGTTGGTTCACCTGTTGGAGAGGCTGTGCAGTCTAAATTACGAAAAATATGGGTATAATAATTTTTGCTTAATTAATTCTGTTTGTTCTTCCGGCGCTCGACGTCCGGCCGAAACCCGGCGCCTCCGCCGCTCTTTTAAAACCAACCCAACCCAACCTCCCCGTATTTTTTGTTTGTTTTTGTTTTACTTTAACGCTCGCCCTCTGTTGCGCGATGAAATATTTAATAGAATAATAACATGAAATATTCAAAGGGACGCCCGTTCGACCGGAAACAAAGCATGCAAAAAGAAAATGAAGGGATCTCGGGGAAAATTAATAAAATCGTGTGTGTTCAATTCTCCCTTCCGATTTCCTCTACCCGATTTTTTTTTTAATATATTTATTTGAACTGTATATTTGATGTATACCTGCTACTACTATATCTGCATTGCGGAGTCTTTTGAGAACGTGCTCTATGAGTCCTACATCGGTGCAAGCCTGTAAGTTGCGAACGCTCTTCCTGAGGATCGCGATGAAAACGCTCCATATTTCAGCCTGAAACAAATTGGAAGAACAATAATTAGTCTCTATATTATTATATATGAAATCGTTTATGTGATTTTATCGATTGCTTGTGACAGGTGACCAATATAGGATATGATGCGAAATAATGCGATTTGGACTGAGGTGACGCAATGATGGTTCTGGCGTTTGTCATCCTCTCATGGAGCGCAGTTGAAGAGGGACATGCAGTTGGCACGTGTCATAAGAATATATATATATAGATGTGTATATATAAAATGAAGATGGACATGGCAAAAGGGGTTGGCATGTTCGAGTGGCATTTGACACCGCAGCTGAGAGAGGCAGGAAATACATTTTAATTAAAACATACACTCGTCGGGTGGACGGAAAATTGGCACTTGTTCGGTACCAACGGAAAATCATCCAACAACCCGAGCGTATATATATTATAAACACGTACGTACATGGATATATTAATGAGATTCGCGCAGACCGGAAGTACGTGCCACCACCACCGTCATAACTGTTGCACATACACGTAGCACATCCCAATTAAAACTCCTTAGTGTTTTGATATAACAATAAGCGGTGTACCATTAACACGAAAATTCTGTTTCCGATGCTTATTTAGACTCAACAAATACTAACTCAATTGATATATTGCAATGCGGAAAGCAAATATTCGTATGGTTTTTATTGTTTATTTTTTTGTTTTTAATAGTCCTATCTTGATTAACGTTACCTCAAATAATGAAATTCCCATTTAAACATAAAAATCTTTTAAAACTGAACTATAGTATAAAGAAGAAATGACAGTTATAATTTTTTGGAAAAACTTGACTATTAAAACCGCAATTGAAAACATTGATAATTCCAATAAATGATTAAATGGAGTTTAAGAAGAAGTTATTGTTAAGCGATCAGTGTTATAGGTTATTGAAAAAAGCTCAAACAATCATATAAAACTCACATTTTAAAATGTGATTTTACTATCTTAAACCATTCTTTCTTCCAGGAATTTTTTACAAAAAAATATTTTTGTTATTAAATTTTTAATATGCAAAATACGATTCACACTCAAATACTCACACAATTCGCTTGCCACTGAAAATGAATTGCTTGTTTTCATATATGTCAAGGCCTTATCAAAATCTATCTAGGAACATAGTGTAATTTATATTTCCTGTCTGATGCATACGTATCACGAATCCAATCAATATATGACATATTCCATCGTCCGATTAAATGAAAATTTGTAACTGAAGTTTTATATGTATCTAAAGTTGAATAGATTTATAGGCTATTATAGTAAAAACTATCTAACTAAAATGTTGGATTCTATTTTATGTTCATTACTTTTATTCATATTCTACTGGTATGTATTAAATTTAAACACATTATTTTACTATCTGAATTTAAAGAATGAAACTTACATTTCATAAATTCGAAACACTACATTTTTTCCTCTATTTTTGATTAAATTTCATGGATTTACTCAATTTTTTTAATATTCAATTCAATGATATTCAATGATTTTTGCAAAAAAAAAAAAATACATGAATTTGAATTTAAACTGTTTCAAATGAAATTAAACTTTCCATATGAATAATTTAAATTTTGCAACGTAGATAATCAAATATGAATTGTGCTTCGAAATATATTAATTGCATTTATTGGAATATACGTAAATTATTTGCTGCACGCCATTAACGTAATTAATAATCATTTCGTATTGCTGTTTACAACAATTATTTTGAGATGTGATGAGACAATCTGGAATTCAATTGTACGCATCTGCATATCAACTAGATATTATCGATGGACGCGGTTTGTTTTTGATTTATTATGCATTTTACGTCACAAAATCGGTGCAATTGTTGGTTGACTCTGTGCGCAAAAGGATTAAAGCTGAATAGAATATTCAATGCAAAATGAAACATTGGTTCATAAATTAAACAAAGTTATACGGATGCTGTTGCATTTCGATATACTATAAAAAAAACAAATATTGTTGAAAATGTAGCGTTTCTGTTTATTTATATAACAGGTATCAATACAATCAATTAAATGATAAAACTAAAATCCTGCGAATAGAAAATATTCAAATTCGCTTTGTATCAGTTGAATCATCAAAAAATAAGCATATTATTTAAATAGATAAATAGATGATGAAAATTGTGTATTCTTATGCGCTTATCAAATAGTTCTTTTCAATTGCAATACAATTTAAAATTAATTTACAAAAATAAATAAATTATAGATATCAATGCATTTTACATAATTATTATTTCAAATGTACTAATGGGCCGAATTGTTCACGATTTCGTGGGCGCCGGTTCGAATCCTGGTCAAGCCAGGCCCTTTGTGAGCCCTCTCGGTGCTTTTAGCAATAGGGACATCGATCATCATAAATGGAAAGTCAAATAAAAGAGGTTTGCATATGGACCTTCAGCCAAGTCGATGGATAATGACAGTGTTAAGGATAGACAAAGGAAATAGTGGAATCGCAAAGCATCAATATACTGAAGTTAACCTACAAGACGGCAGCCAACCAACAAATTACAGAAGAATATAATGGTAAAAACTTCCATTGGGAAGTTTACCAAAAAACTAATGTCTACCGCCATTAGATTTAATTAATGTTCGCAGGAATAAGATTGTAAATTAAATTTTCTATGTCATAATAGAAAAAAAAGTATATTAATATTACTTTTTTTTTCTATTAACAAGTTTTATCACTTCAGAAATAACATTATAATATTGATCACAAAGATTTTATATTGAATTTTTGATGAATGTTATAAAAAAAAGTATATTTGTTGTATACAATAATTATTTATTTATAAAAACAAATTAACGAATTTTACATATTAATTCGGGACTGAAAGAATTTAATTGAAAAAAAGAAATTATTGTATTTTGCAGAAGGGTGACCATAATTATTAATTCACATGGTATTATATTAGAAAAATAGTTTTGAATACTGCATAAACCAATAAAGTATTATATTTTTGATGTAAGTTATAAAAATGTATATTTGTTCAATAATAAATATTTAACTTCAAGAACATAAATATTAAAAGTTATATTACGTATTCATTTCGGCACTGGAAGAAACAAATGGTGAAACATTTCAAACATATTGCAGTTCTGAAATGAAGAAACTTACATATACGAGCGTTTCATATTTCATTTTCAGCTGTAGTCGAAACAGTTTCCATTTCATGACTATTTGACGTTTTTATGCGTGCACGCTGCACGGGCAAAAGCCCTAAGGTAATCCAGTTTCTCGATGCTTTGTTAACTTAATGTAGTGTGAAAGTTTTAAAGAGTATTTTATTCCTTGCACAAAGTGGTGGATAAACGCCAGATTCTCAGCAATGCAAAAGGGCGCCAAGAATCACGTCCTTCGTACGTTTTTGGATTAGCTCTCTCACTTCAGCATGGTCAAACTTTCTTGGAATATCGATGCCTGTTAAAGTTCTGCGGTATTGTGGTTCCAAATCTCTTTACTACCGCTGCACACACCTGCCGATATTTTCAACCGCTCTTCGTTTTCCACCCGCAAAACACTATCTCATTTCAAGCGGAAAACCGCAGATGGATAAAGTTCCACCCGTTTCCGACTGCTTTATTCGAAACTTCCTCTCATTCCAAAACGTACATTAACAATTCACGAATATATTAGAACATCGCAAATTGAAATAATAATCATAATATAAAGGAAATTCACAATTACATTTAGCGTACAGTTCTAGAAAATGTATTTTCAAAGTTCTGCGACATAAATACTATTATTAATTAATATTATACAATTATAAGAATTTGTTTTATGTTAATCCAAATTAAATCTTAATCAATTAAAGTTATAATTACCTAAATTAAACTTTATTTTTAAATAGTTAATTTAAGATTTTGTATGTGCAAATGTAAATGATATTTATTAACTATTAAATTTTATAAGTTATTTGAACAATACTTGTGTTAAATTGATGCGCTCGGTGAGTTATTGAGGTAGCAACAGTTTATATAAGTTAAGGAACAGTTCCAACTTGAACTTTATAGTCGAAAGGCAGAAGGTGGTTTCATGAAATTACATATGTTGTCCCACAAAGGCAAATATTTATTATACGAATCATAGTGGAACAAAGCCAACGTATCTTTTATAATGATAAATATTCCATTCATTATATTAATTATGTAATCGATGTCTCTAATTAATTACATTATTCATAATATAGAACTGAAACGCTACGTAAAATAGTAAAGTTTTAGAAGAAAATGAGTTTGCACAGGTTAAGGCTTCTTTCAGAGAAGAGCTAAAAGTAGAGCAAGTGGAATGGAGAGATGATGATGAAAAAAGAACGCAAATTAAATATTGAACCATCCATTTATCCAGGGAGGGTGAATCTGTTGAATAAACAGACGGTGGAGCGATGATAATTGGAATAAGGTGTGTACGTGTATATTTATCTTTCGGCCGCAATATAATGATGTTCCTTGGGTAATTCGTCGGGGCTTGTTTAGATTTTCATTTCACAATTACTTTCGTGCAGATGGGGTCGAAATTGGAACGAATAAAAAAAAACGAAGAAGAAACAACAACAAAACGCGAAGGGTTTCCATGGGAATGGGTAAGTAAAAGGGGAGACGCATGAATATTCATGATTCGGGCACACTTAAGAGAACCTTCGGATGGGGACTCTAAATCCATTAGCGTGGATTTATGAAATAATTTCGTTGAATTTTTAGGTGATACTTTTTTTACTTTTGGCAATCCGGTTTGAATTATCATTGGTTAGTGTGTTTTATGTCCGGAGAGAATGGGAGTGGTGGTTGTGTACATACTGCGCGCGTTTATGGGAATATATGTTCGGGGGGGTTTTGTTTTCGTAATTTATACCAAGAGGGGCCCCGCATGTTTTTGTGCGTGCCGCTAAATTAAGGGCGCATAATTGTGTTCACCGGCCACCAACCACCCCCGAAGCGCCACAGACGACTACCGAATTTTCATAATTAATTAGTTTCCT